GCTGAGCTCGCGGGGCGCCCGCGGCGACGCGAGCCTCTCTGCCCGGGTCGAGCCTTCCCGAAGCCTCGTTTCCTCGTTTGGGGCAGGGCTTCCCCGGGCGGGAGCCTGCGCCCGGCGCACTGCGAAGGGGACTCCGCGACCCGCACCCCGAGACGGGCTCTCGGGGCGGCGAGGCTCAGCGCGCTCAGCCTCGGATCCCGGCGAGGGAAGCCGCTCAGCGCGCGCGCAGCCCCGACGTGTCCCCGCGGGGCCCTCCTAGCGGGCGGGCAGAGGTGCGCAGGGTGCCCGAGCCTGAACAAGTCTGACTTCCCGAGGGTCAGAGGGTGCCCCAGAATGCGAAGGGAAGGTCTGAGAGCTGCGGCTCTCGAGAGCAGAGGGAGAAGCTTCAGGCAGCTTCTGCGCTTAGCTCCTACCTGCTGACCAGAAGAGAGCGGGCAGGCTGGAAGGTGATCACTGGCGAGACCGCCCTGGATCCCAGAGGCCCTGGTGTTGACAAAAACGCGTTCCCTGCCGGCCTCAGATCGGGGCCTGGGAAGCCAGGGGTGGGTGGCAGGGCCCCATCTGGCCGGCCGTCCCTGGGTCCCCCAGCTCTCTGTCTTTTGGGGCTGCAGATCAGGAGGGTGAGCAAAAGCGTTGAGATCACCTGCCTGGGGCGGAAAGGGAGATGGCGAGGCCTCGGAGCTGGGCTGAGGGTGCGTGGGAGCCCAGGCGAGGCATCGCCGAGGCGGGCCGGGGACCGGGGGGCAGGGACCCAGACGGAGGCCGCGGTGAGCTTCACATCCCTCTACTTTGTGTCTTTTTGTGTCTTTTTATTTTCGCATCTAATCCAGAGCCCCCAACTCCAGCTGACACAGCACTTAGAAAATTCTCCATCCATTTTACTTTCAAAAGTAGCAATTATGTCTCTCAAATAGTTTTAATCAGGCGGAGAAACTTGCAGGCCACTATGTGTGGCCTTCAGAATTTGGTCTCTTGGCACTTTGTGTCGGCCGGGGCCTCTGATCACATGACGTTTAAATTAACTGTTTTCCGAGGGCTCTGTAATCAACAGAGACGGACGGGTCCCGTCCCGGTAAATGCTGGAGACTATTTTAATGTCGTTTCCTTAGGAGTATCAATCAGCCTCAGAGTGAAAATTCCCACGCAAATGACGGAAAAGCGAGAACAGCACCTCAGTTTTTTCAGCCCCTAACCCTGTCAGTGTTCGCTCGATGGTGATGCTGCCCGCGCTTTATTTTATTTCTGTTTTATAGCTGTTTTAAAAACGTCATGCAAACCAGAATGGCCTATGCGGTTGTGCTTTTTACCTCTCGGATTCCTATCACAGTGATGCAGCCACGTACGGCAAGTTTGCTGCCTTCTCGGCCATTCTTTAGGACCTATTGAGAGGAGGGTCTTAGCGGGTCACAGAAGATCAGTGTCTTTCGTCTTGCCGGGCGCCTCTCTGCCCTGTGGATCGGAACTGGGTGTGCGATTCGGGCTGAGGGAAAGCGAAGAGGCAGAGGCTCCCAGGCCATGATGGCGGCCCGGCCTGACACCAGGCCACCGTGCCCCGCTTCCCCGTGGAAGGCGAGGCCTCTGTCTGCTCTGTCCTTGGGCCCACCTCTACTCAGGCCTCCCACTAACAGTCGTGGGGCCTGGGCGGCCTGCGTGGCGTGGCCGGGGGGTCGAGGGGACAGCCAGGAGAGCAATGCTCAGGGGACCTCTGGCTGGAGAGGCAGCTGTTAGGGCCGAGCGAAGAAGCGAGAGAATTAACTGCAGAGCTGAGGCCCGGGGCAGGCAGTCGGGAGGGGCGGAGCGTGTGCCCCTCAACGGTCTGTTATTTTTCAAACCTGGTGCATGATGCTTCTTGCTCAGTAGAGGCGGACACGCCAGACACGGGGGCCGAGCCGTGACCTTGACAGTGCTATTTCTCAGGGTAAGTCCGGTTCCCAGAAGGACGGCCTTGCCAAAACGCCTCCGTTTGTCCTCACGTTTTGCTGTGTGATTCTGGTGGGAGTGGGGAGATGATCCCCCCCCGCCCCCACCGCTGGAACCCCCACACAGATCTCATAGGCTAGCAACCCGTTTCACTTTAGGGGGCCCCTTCCTTTCCTTATAATGTTTCTTCTAGTAGCAGAGATTCTCGTTAAGACTTTCTTGTCTATTAAAAGACTGCTTTTTATGATCGCTTTTGTGAAAAATAAAATTCCCTCAAAGCTCTTTTTCTAAATACATACTCCTTTTGAGTCCAGCTGAGGACCACTGAGGTTCCCGTAAGTGGCGTCGGCAGAAGTCACTTGTGTGACCGCCACCTGCCCAGGGCATCCGTCCCCTGAGAATGGCTGTGGCTTTCCAGCCCGGTCCAGATAGCGTGGTATCCCATGGCATCCATCCGTACGATCTGAGTTCCGTCTACAGCCCAGTGTAACTTAATTTTATACTGGCATCGGTTTGTTTCATAGTCTTTCATAAGTCAAGGGGGAGAAGTATTTCCAGAACCCATTATTCGGATTCGGGGTTCAAAACAATCCAGGCAGCAGAGCTGGCTGGCCACGCTCGGCGACCCCTTTCTTTATTTGCGTTTTCGTTTTAGTGGACAGAAGCTGCTTACAAGATGACTTCCTAGTGTAGCAATAAAGAAAAACTTTTGCCGAAATGGAAACATTGGGATGGGAAAACATGGTTAGAGTTGAGCCATCTGCGTTTGTTTTTTTTTTTTCTGTTTTGTTTTGTTTCGTTTCGTTTTTGCTTTTGTTTTGTTTTGTTTTGTTTTTTTTTAGTTGCCGGTTAAAAAAAAGATCGTGCATCCATGTCGTGAATGACAAAGTAAATTTTTTTTGGGGGGGAGGGAAGAACGTGCTTAGAGATGAAATATAGCAGACATCCGATCATCGCAATCTGTTTCCCTCCCCCTTATTTTTATTCTTCAGCCACCTTCTCATTTTCCATCCTCCCTGGAAATGATACCAGGAAGGACCCGGAATCAGCAGTTTTCGCTGGCAGGATCTATTATCTAAGCCACGAAATTTCATCTTCTGATGAACGGGCCTCTCTTCCCTCCCCACGCTGACTTAACTCTTCTCCGCTTAGGCGTTTCTCACTGTCGCCGAGCGGTGGCTTGCTGGATGGCAAAAGGGAGCTCTCGGATTTGGTTTCATCTGGAAGAAGAAACCTGTAATTGTAGCCTGGCCGTTTCCTCGGGCTTCCCCGGAGGCCTGGCCTCTCCTGGAAGGCGTTGAGCTTCCAGAAGGCGGATGGGCACCTCCCACGGGCACGGGATGCTCTCGGTGCGGGGAGCCTCTGCCCACCTGCCTAGCCAGAGCTGGCTTTGTCTTGTTAGTCTCCGAACTCCTTGCTCTCCAGGGACAGTTATCAGAACGGTCTCCGCCGGCCGATTCCCAGAGCGGGCTTTCTTCTCGGGGAGCTTCGGGGGTTTTTATGGGAGGCGGAAGGTGTAATCAAGCCCCCATGCTGGGTGCGATGACGCCCCCTCTCATCTGTCCTCACTGGGGAGTCAAGTCATCCCATTGAATAACATTCATAATAATTTAAATCAGCCCTTGTGGGGACACCACGCTTCCTTTAAACGACTCAGAGAGAAGCAGAAGGTATCCGAGAGTGGAAAAAAATCTTTCCATATAGAAACGGAAATGGAATCCGATGAGATGCTTCTGTACTTAGAAATTAACTGACCGCATCGTATTTGATGGAGATGCTTCTACAGTGTCTTATCCACGTCAGCGGCCGGGGCCTTTCTGACGCCCTGGTGGGTTATTATGACAAGGCCGTCCCAGGCTGCCGCGTCGGGCTGTCCTCTCGCCGGGTAGCCGGGGCCTCGGTGCCGGCAGGTATTTTGTGGCATCTCTGTCACCTTCTTGTTCTTTCCTGAAGCCCTGTCTTTCAGTGCAGTGCTTTTTAAAGCAGTTAGAACTTGGAATGAACTGAGAGTAAGTAGCATAGACCGTTCAGTACATGGTCTTTGTGAATCCTTTTCAGTTCGCTCATGACGTTTTTGTGTTTTACGATTATTTTTAACTGTTATTCTCGGCCGCGCTCTAGATACTCTGAACTGAATGCTTTTTGTGGATTAATTCTTCAATTCTGGATATCAACAGTTATTTACTACATCTGTTAATATAAGCAGAACCCCTTCTAACCCCAATATTTATCTTTGTATTCCAACGCTTCATATGTACGTTTCATATTAAGCCCCACATGAAAATAGACATTTTCAAGAGAAGAGGGTAAGTGTACTAATGTGCGTTCATGAAAAGTAAAGTTCTAAGGAAGATGCTTGTATAAAGCTGGTTCCTGGGCGATCTCGCCGTGGGTGGCAGAGGGAAGGAGGACGAAGACATCGACCACTGCTGACATAGCCTTCAGACGCAGGCCGATCGCTTGTCACTCTGTGTACATACACTTATTTAATTTCCCCCAAACTCAGTGGAGGTGGAAAATTTAACTTATCCCATAATTTAACGAACTCATCTATTCCTCTGTGAGTTCATGTTGTCGCTTTAAAAAAAAAGAGAGATTTTTTAGAAAGAAAACGTTAAATAACTTTAGTTTTCTTATGACAAAAATTAATTCTCTGAATATGTAGTAATTCTGAGGCTGCTCCCGGGTGGGCACGTGACTCCATCCACTCTCCAGCTCCCATCTGGGCGAGTCAGCAGTGAGGAGGGCAAGACGTTACCTCAGCATGGCGGAGCGACGTGATTTTGATTTAAGTCTAATGCATGACCACTTCCTTTCCTGGTTAGATATTCATCAACAATGAATGGCATGGATCCAAGAGTGGAAAAAAGTTTGCCACATATAACCCTTCGACTCTAGAAAAAATATGTGACGTGGAAGAAGGAGATAAGGTAGGTGTCTCTACCCTAAGTCATTTGATTACAGGTGACTACAGAATAAGGAAGCAGGCTGGCTTAGGTAGGGGACAGCACTGGCCCGCACTCAGGTAGGACGTAAGCTGGCCGCTTCTCAGACACCTGGCCCAGAATGGGATCAATTAGGGACGATCCACCGTAGGAAGTTGCTCTCCTTCGATGGATGTTTCTCCGTCTATGAGGATGACCTCAGCTGTCCGCATCACGTGGCTAAAGGAGAGATTTTTATCAATGACTTGAACCTGGAAGCATTAAAAAAATCTTTCCAGAAAGCATTTCGGGCTGGTGTGTTTCACCAAATGCGCCATTCTGGCAGGAGACACTTAAAACAAATAGAACTTGAAGGAAAAAGACTTGCTGACCAAGTCACGCTGGGATAATGAGGTCATGTAATCACCAGATTTCTTTTCTACCAGAAACTTAAATGATGGTGTAAAGCCTTAGTGTTTATAACCCTACTCGATAGTTCAGGGTCTGCATTATAATACGAGCTTTACGAATAACACACACACATAATATACGCTGTTACATATTACATATGTTTAATATGTGTTACATATATACAAAGCACTGTATCATATAGCACAAGCTTTACGAATAACACACACATGTACAGTGTTACATATTACATATGTTTAATATATGTTACATATATACAAAGCACTGTATCATATAGCACATATGTATCAAGCTAAGGGACTTCTGGATGTGTCTTTGATACATTTGGATGTAAGTGCCTTTGGGGGAAAGGTTGAAGGTTAAGCTTTTGTAAGGAGGGGAGGGGCGCTCGGAAGCACTCACCTGACGTTCTCAGTAAGCGTCCAGGTGACGTGGAACGTGGACGGGGTGAACGGCATGCGTGTCGCATGGGCTGGAATTGGATGCCACCGGTTTCGTGTTGGGCGTGCGAAGCATGGTCTGTCCGCCTGTACGGCCCCTCCGATGTGCAGCGCCCCATGCTAAGCTCCTTTTTGTAAAGATGCTGGCACCGAGGAGCTCGGACGAAGAGGTGGGGGCAAGGAGGGGTGGCGAGCATGATGCTGAGCGACCCCCAGCACTGCATGCAGTTATCAAGGAGGAGAAGAAGCCCCTGCCCCAAGCTCTGGCTTCTCCCTCGGTCCGGGTGACTGCTCTGAGCACGTGAAGGCAGAGGCAGCCCTGTCCCCGGAGGCTGGGAGGTCCTGCCTCCACCCCAACAGCCTGTGACAAGGAATTCAGAGCCCTGTTATCTCCTCTGCCCATCAGCAACCGGAGCCTCGAACCGTATTTTCCTGAAAATGAGTGAGCGACAATTACCCTAAACAGCTCTCGCTTCTTTCCAGTTAAGAAAGAGGTTCGATTGTAATTTTTCTATCAGTCACAGAAGACCCAGCTCCTTCTCCTTAAGATGGTGTGACAGTGGCCCCAGGGGGTAGCTGAGGCGGCAGGGGGTGGTGGGGGGAACATTGCTGATCCTCCCAGTCTCTGGGCTTTTCCCATGTGGTCGGTTCTCGGATCCTCAGAAACATCATGACCCGTTCTCACTGTGGGAGCTCGGTCCTCAGCGGGAATAAAATGCCCACACAGTTATTTACCACCTCGTTGCTGAGCTGAGTGTGTCCAAACTGGCAAGTGGAAAATCTTTTCCTACTTGGTTCACCAAGAAAAATACTTCATTAAAGTTGGTGGTTTTATAAACTTTTCAAAAACACTTTTATAATCAGAAAAAAAGTTCATATTTAACCATAGGAGAAATCCTGAAAAAAAAAAAAAAGTCTTAAAACGTAAAGAAGAAAAAAGTCGCTCGAAAGCCCCCAGCCATTGCTTGCCACCCCCTCCTCCTTCTTCCCATGACGGAAGCAGATCTTGGCCGTTCTCTGTGACGGACAGGGGAGCTGTCCCCAAGTGCGGTCGCATCAGAAGGTGACACTCTCTCCCTGCTGTTTTGGCCGTTCAGCCCGACGTGGATATGGCGGTGGAGGCCGCAAGAGCCGCCTTCCAGAGGGGCTCGGCATGGCGCCGGCTGGATGCTCCGAGCCGCGGCCACCTGCTGCACCAGCTGGCGGACCTCGTGGAGAGGGACCGTGCCATCTTGGCGGTGAGTACGCGCACGCACGAGGGGTGGGCGTGGCCCCAGCCAGCCTTACTGGGGGTCCTGTCCCCCCACGAGGCGTGGAAGAAAAGATTCGGGGCAGTGGCTTTGTGTGGCGGCGGGGTCTCTGGTCCTGGAGCTGTAGTTCTGTGAGGTAGGCAGGTGGCTCCCTCCCGCCCCGCCCTTGAACTTGACCCTTTTTGTTTTGAAGCCAGACCTTTGCCCCCCGCAGCTCAGCTTCACGGTAGTTCCCAGACTCAAGACCTTCAGAGATGACTGGATGGGCCGGGTTGTATCCTGGTCCCACCGGTACATTTATGAACTTGATTTTTTTTTTTTTTTAACATAAACTCCTTTTCAAACTTCAATTTAACCTCATCCTAACTGGCAGTGCCCATGAAGTCACAGATTTAATGTGCTGGCTGTATTTTTTAGACTACTACTAAAATCAACGCCACTACTTAACACAGAAAAAAAATGATCTCCACGTGACCTGAAAATCGTCCCTGCCTCAGCCTCGAACTGGGCAGTGCCGAGCGTGTGTGGAGCGAGGGTGACAGCAAAGGACCCTGGTTAGAATACACCTCAGATTCTGAAAGACCTCGGTTCCAATCCCGCCTCTGCCGCTGACTAGCTGTGTGACTTCAGACAAGTTGTTTAACCTCTCTGAGCATATGTTTCTTCACGGAAAGCGTCGTTAATAACCATATCCAAGTGTCGTAAGAATGATCCATTTAAAATTCGTAGCGGAGTCCCTGGCATGCAGTAAGCGTAAACAGATGAAAGCCATTATTCGTAGTAGCAGCTGTCATACTCATGCTATCTGAAGACCTGGGTCCTAACCCCAGCTACGTACCCTCCTGGCCACTAATTTCTAGGTCCTTAGTTTCTGTGCTGCGAAGCGGGGGATATAAACTCAGCCCCCTCCCTGAGGTTGGGCTGTCCCAGGCTAGGGAGCCATGAAGACGTTTGTAAGCTGTAAGTGCCTATTTAACAGGCTTCTCAGACCTTCCTTTGCTAAGTGACCTGAGGACATCTCAGGTCCTCTGCAACCTGCACAGACCTTCGGACAGCTCGGACTCCAGTTCAAAACTTGTTCCAAAGCTTGAGGCCAGTTGGCGGGCGGGGACCTCTTTTTTTGGCCTCTGATTTGGAAAACTAATTCTTTCCTTCCTCGATCTGATGTCAGGAATAAGCGGTAGAGTGGACACGCTGGTGGAGGACAGTGTCCACCAGGACGCGGGTGTCGTGCCTGTCCCTGACCGTGCGTCTTGGGGTGGAGGGAGGAGGGGTTCGCGTCTCCGTTCCACTCCGGGCGCATGGCCCCTGCGGACACGTCTGCCCACGGCCCCGAGCTCTCTTCGCCCCCGTCGGCCAGTCCAACGCGTTTGCCCCAAATCTGCGTGAGGGGAGCCCCCTCCAGGGTCAGCATTTCTCTCCCAGGAGCCTCTGGTTTCTTCCTGCAGTGACAGTCAGCCTTGACTCTCAAGCTGCCAAACTGGCTTTTTCAAAAACATTTCTGTTTTCACCCAGCATGAGCTCATCGGTCTGCAATGTGTGTGTGTGTGTGTGCAGGCGGCAGAGCATGTGCCCTGGGCAGCCCTCCTCACCCTGTCCTCAAATGCCAGGGTCATCTTTGGGAGCAGGGGCTGCAAGGCCACCGTCACCCCGTTGTCCGCCGGGCTGCTTTGAGACGGCAGACGGAGCAGGTCGCCTCTGCCGTCAGAATCTCGCTCCCACGGGAAATAAGATCCAGTTCTTTGCCACATCGTGAAAGGGACTAGACAATTCCTGACAAGCACGGTTTTTAAAACTTGGACCACGTCACAGGAAAGCGCCCCTCACTCGCCAGCCCGATACGCTTTTCCGCATTTTCGTGCAGAAGCGCTTCTGGCCATCATGTCCTGTGCCGGCTCAGCGGTCTGGACAGAGCTGGGTGTTTACGTCTGTGTCCAACCCCGCTCTCTCCCCCTTCCCGAGGCGGCGGGGCCCACATTCTGGCTGCTCGGGAGCTCATTTGGGGAGCCCTCGAACGGGGGCCCTCCCTGTTGACTCTCTTTTTAACCCTGCCGCTCTCCCTTCATTCTTTAGTATCTGATCATTACGATGCTGGCTTTTCAGAAGGCGATCTTGACTCTTAAAACGTGAAAGGGAATAAACTTACAAGCAGCTGTGGTTTAACTCATGGTCCAGCCGCAATAACTGTTCGAAAGTCCCCAGTAGCTAAGACTTGATTTCTCAGGTGCCATCCTGTCTGCTCACCTGCGAACGTCATTTTATTTTTTTTAAAGAATTTCCTGTCGAAACCTACTGTGACCTGGTTTTGCTTGGACAGGTTCCATAAAACCCGCCCGGCCAATTCGCGTTGTCGCTACCGTCAGCCGCCTTGCCCGAGTCATGATGGCAAAAGCCGGTGCTCGTTGTGTGCTCTCCGTCGCCAGGCTTGTCGTGGGCGCTTCGCCTGTAGCGTTTACCATCCCGTCTCAGAGATGAGGATCCCGAGGCACAGAGAGGCTAGGTCACCTGTCCAAGGTCACCCAGCCAGAGATGCTGCGCGATTCCCCATGATGAGATATCACGGTCCTCTGCCTTTCTCTCTCTTTCCCAAGAAGGCCAAGAAAAAGCTTCTGGTTCCACCGACAGATACGCAGATGCTGTCTGGGGTAGCCTGGTCCTAGAGACCTTTTGGCATGATTTGAGATCTTGGTTTCCCCTTGGGAAATAAAAGTTCCGACTTGCAATGTAAATGAATAGGAGCCAAAGGTACAGCGTGCCGAATGTCCCCTTGGCCTGGCTTGGTCCCTGAGCAGCAGGTGACACGCAGCCCACACCCGGACCAGCCCTGTCACCTTCAGCAACGCACAGTCCTCTGTCCTTGGTGCCTCCCAATGAGGATTGCCAAGCACCCGTCTGGTCCCCAAAGGGACAGTGACCATCATCGTCATGGCTGCAACTGTCATCGTTCGAGCAGTGAACAGGGCACTTGCTGCGGGCGACACTGTCGTTAGTGCTTTGTGGATACGGAAGTAGGTCATGACTGTGCTTATCCCCATTTCACAGGCGGGGAAGCTGAGGTAGGGACAGGCTCAGGGACCTGCCCGTGCTAGGGAAGAGGCCACCTCCCGGTTAGAGAATGCTCAAGTCACACACAGTCACCCAGCATCTCGCGTGGCCACCCCACAGTCGTTCCAGATGCAAACGTCCGGGGGGCAGCAGCCTAAACAGCGGTCACTGTGCTGGCTGGATGTCAGGTGCCCAAGTTCAGGGCCGGCCGTGCTCTGGAGAACCTCGGAGGGGTCAGGGCCCCGCGTCGGGAACGTGGCGGTCAAGCTCAGGCAGGACGCACGCACGCAGGGCCCTCCCCGACTTCCCTGGTGAATCGCCATCTCACTGCAGCGAGTCCAAAGCCGGAATCCAGCCCCAGGCGACGTGTCAGGGCGGCCACTTCCTGCAGAGAGGCATGGCAGGCGGCGTCGGCACTGGGCCTCCACTGGGGCCGCTTGTCTGAGGCACAAAGGGGTCCTCTGACAGCCGGGATGGAAATAGAAAGAACCCTGGGCACCGAGCAGCTGCGCCTCACCCCGGGTGGCCACCTCCCTCACCGCCTAGGGCAAGTCCTCTCCCGCCACCCGCATCCGGCTTTGCAGCCCCGTGGGAAGGG